GGGACAACAGTTCGACAAACCACTTTATTTTCCAGGACAACAGTTACTGATTATCTGAAGGCAAAACTATTATACATATAAGTTCATGTCACCACCCTACATTAAGAAATGGCAAAAGTTTGCCTGTTATAAAATTCTTGGGACCAGTTTGCTATTGGAAGCAATTGAGTCTCCACCAATGTTTCTTCACAAGCCGGGCAATGGGTATTGGGTTGTCAAAGCTTCAACTCTTCTTCGCAAATTTAACACCTTATCGATCAAAGGGAACTCCGGTGAAGTAACAAACTTCAAGAAATCTTGAAGCTTTGTACCAGAGACTAACTTCTTGGCCTCAAGAGTTATCTGCACACCCTCATTAATGAAGTCTGCAACTGTTACAAATTCCTTCTCAGAGAAACCTCGAGTGGTCATTGCAGGTGAACCTATGCGTATACCACCAGGCACTAGTGCACTTTTATCACCTACGGTTTCATAGATGGTATAAGGACAATATAATAAGTGACAATAATAAATAGCAATGGTTAAGCTACTATACTTACCTGGTACTGAATTCTTATTGAGCGTGATTGATGCCATGTCAAGTATTTTCTCCACTCTAGCACCATCAGCACCCTAATTGACAAATGCAGACTGGTTAATCGAAGTTAATAAGAAAAGGTTGGTTGTATCTTGGTGCTTGTAGCTGGTAATACACATATATTAACACATAAAAGGCAGAAGGATCCTTTATAGAGTTTACCTACCCGTCATCGACTATTTCATATGGAAACACTAATCAGCCAGATAATCATTCTTTATATAATTCAATATTTACCAATTATGTATCCATCCATTTCAGTTCCCCTGTAACCACCAAATTCCAAAAAAATTCTTTGAGAGGTCAACAAAACTGTAGACAATGGTGCTTAATAGTTTAGTATACATTCGCCACTATTGAGATACCAGTATCTTCGCATGTCCAAGTTAATTTTGCTGTTGAAAAGATAACTGGACAAGAAACAGTGCAAAATGAAGAACTTACTAAGGGCCTGAGATCCACTAGAACCAAATGATTGTCAGTTCCTCCAGAAACCAGCTTGTACCCCAACTCCGTTAACCGGCTTGCAAGAGCTCTACAGTTAGAGACCACCTGAAAGCATAAACTGCATATGAATTATATTTCCCGCATAAATGGCCACAATCTAGTGAAAAGACGGGACAATGCATGCCTTGTTCTGATAAGCCTTGAAATCAGGTGATTTGGCATGCTTCAAGCAAACAGCTAATCCTCCAATTGTGTGATTATGCGGGCCACCCTGTGAAAAAAAACAATGCTATTGCTAGTCAAAATCATCCATATGATATTAATATATCCAAAAGGCCAAAATGGCATTGGTAGGTTTTAACAATCAAGGGAACTAAAGACAGAAAATGTAAAGTAAAATAGTGTTAGATGCCCATGGCTTTGGTCTAGTGGTAAGAGCCCAACATGTGATGTGTGGATAATGCGCACGCCACTGGTTCAAGCATTGCCACAGACAAACGCCTGGTATTTAAGTGGAGATGGGTAGAGGGGCAGACCCATTATCGATGAGTTTCAAACTGTGCCCTACTGGCCCTCGGGGATTTCGAAGTTACCAAAAGAAAAAAACATATTGTTGATAGAAAACAAAACTGACCTGCAACCCTGGAAAAACAGCATTGTTGATGGCAGTTTCCAAATCAACACCTAGAATGGGATCTTTCTTGAAGAAGATCATTCCTCCTCTAGGACCTCTCAGAGACTGAACAAAGTAGTGCAACTTAGGGCCATTTTTATCAAGAAAAATACTCTAACAACAAAATGAAAAGCTCTCTGAACCCACAGCATATTAGAGTTTATGGAAGAAGTAGGCAGTCATTTTAAATATGTTACCTTTTCCAATGAAGACCTACTAGGTTTAGAAAATATGTAAATCTATAATATAACTTTAAACTGCATGATGTAACCCACACTCCTCAGGCAGCTGATCTGAGCATTTCAGCCCATTTCCAACAGTAACAACAATTTGACGGCCCCAATACAAATTCTGAAAACTATAAGAGAATTTCAAGTTCTAACTGAGGTCATCTTATCTTATTCCCACAAATTACCGAAAGTCCTCTTAGCTCCGGAAATTCGAAAAAATGACAGAATTCATATGCTCTGGGAAAAGAAGATCAACTTAATTTCTTGAATCTGAACAGAGATGCATGGCCATGTTAATCAGGGAAGTGAAAATAAAACTAGAAAAGATTAGTTTTGTATTGCATAAGTTTCTGTTTGTCTTTTCTGTGGTTTTTTAAAATTGTCTTTTTGGGTGGTGGGGGCTTGGATGGTTACTGGACAAAATTCCAAGTTAGGAAGGAAATATAAATCATACCTTGTGAGTTGTTGTTGTAACAATGTCACAGTAATCAAATGGATTAGCAACTACAGAGGCGGCAACAAGGCCACTAATGTGCGCCATATCCATCATGAGAAAGGCTCCAACAGCATCTGCTATCTTCAGTAAGTGTCACAGAAATAATTAGATGCAGAAAACAAAGATATCAACATGGAGAAATCATCATCGTGGAGCAGTAACTCCAACTAACAAACTCCTAACAATATTTACCTTTCTCATACGAGGATAATCAAAATCTCGGGGATATGCACTAGCACCGGCAATAATAAGTTTTGGCCGAAAAAGGGTTGCCGTTTTCTCAAGCATTTCATAATCAACAAGGCCTGTTTAAAGTCAAAAAGAACATCCCATTGAATGACAACTCTAGTTAAGAGTCTAAATTCATCTATTAAGAATTTAATATAGGCATGCAGTACCTGAAGATTCATCAAGCCGATAAGGCATGGATTCAAAGTAAATAGATGTGCCTGAAACTCGTCTTTTAGGAGTCATAAATCCATGGGACAAATGACCTCCATGAGGTAAGTCCAATCCCTAAGTGAATTGCAATGAAAAGTGATAAATATCAATCCATGCAAATCTAGAAGACCAAAGGAAGAGGTTGCTTACAACTAACCATGATCCGGTCATGTGGATTAAGAATTGCTGTATAAACTTCGAAATTTGCTGGAGAGCCAGACAGTGGTTGAACATTGACGCCCCACTGTTTTCCATCTAAGTTAAAGGCTGCCAAAGCCCTCTCTTGACAGAGTATTTCTAACTTGTCAATATACTCGTTTCCACCATAATATCTGATATGAAACAGGAATTTATTTACAAAAACAGAGGAAGGATATTGTTAAAGAAGCTATATAAAAGAAGAAGAAAAATAGGTTCACTACCATGAAGAGATTCATGTTTTGCATCAAATAAAGATTCCACAAAAAAAAAAAAATAATAAAGAAAAAATAATGATGCTTTTTTTTTGGTAGGGATAAAATTCACCTTTTGCCTGGTAGTCCTTCGGAGTATTTGTTTGTAAGGCAAGAACCCACTGCCTCCATCACTGCTCGAGATGTGAAATTCTCAGAGGCAATAAGCTCTAAGCTCCGAAATTGACGTTCCTTCTCTTTGTCAATAATACCACGAACTTCAGGATCAGCTTCACCCAATTCATAGTCTACAAAGCTGCTCCCAGCACCTAGAAAGTACAGTGGCCAACTTTAAGTAACAGAGTAAACGACTAAGCTATGAGAAGAAGGAGAATTCATCAACTTCAACTATGATATACCGCTGGAATAAGGGAATGAAAGCACCAAGAAGTGGCTTGATTACTACGAACTGACATAGGAAGGAGAAGGAAGGAAAAATTATGCAATTACGAGAACTGTGGAGAGTTTCCAAACTACAAAAACTGCATTCATATTCGTCCACAAAGAAATGCATGACAAAAATGAAATTATTTAGCTGATCCAACTTGTTTCGGACTGAGGCATAGTTGTTGTAGTTGTTTTAGAACTTTTGAGTTCTGCCAAATGCCAATAATGTCATTACCCTAGGTTGATTTCATAAACATTGTAAGACCAAAAGGCTGATGGAAGAGAAAGAGCATTCCCTTCACAAGAAGGTATAAACACATGAATAGAAGTCAAAACAGTAAGTACTTTATATAATTGATGTTCAGACCCCCAATTGACTATACATTAGGCAAAATGATTCAAGAGCTTCTAGCATATATAGCAGTTAAATTATCTAATCTTTAAATGCGCGCATTAACTAATCTGGTTTATAATATAATTCAAAACTCTCAAAAACCCATCTTTATACTGCCGGCTCAATATAGGAGTACAAAATATAAGCAACTAGACAAAAACATATATCAAGGATAACATCAAATTTGAACTAACTATCCGAAATTTACATGAAAGGGAGCCTTAGTGCAATAGTAAGAGTTGTCGTCGTATGACGAGGAGGTCACAGGTTCAACCACGAAATTGCACGGTAAGGTTGCACACAATAGTTAGTGCACCGGGCTGCCCCTTTTATCCGAATTATACATAACTAAAGATAGGAACAAACAAAGAATAAATATAGAACCACAGTTCGTTCATGAGATATAACCCCTTAAAATAAATCAAATACAAATACTAAAACACAAACTAGAGCCAAGAAAAGGAAAAACAAAAGTTTGAAAATTACCTGCCATTTCTGGGATAGGACCAGAAACAGAAGAAGGAGGCCTTCCAGTAACCAAGCTCCCTTCAAGTTGAAAGGCTCTGCAAGGCTTAACAGAGCATAATTTAACCACCCCATTAAATTTTATCATTTCACCTTTTAAAGGAAAAGCTGATCCTTTAACCCAAACAGGTTGCTGAATAGAAGAACCCATCACTGCAGCTCCACAAGAAGCCTCCATAATATACTGTAACAAGATTAAAAATTTATTAAATCCTGCAGCTTAACTAAGGAAAGATTAAATTACTTCAAAAGTTGATTGATAAATTTAAAGAAAAACTACAAATTTGATGCAAACATTCTTTGTCTGCTTTAATCAACAAATAGAAAAGGTTTCTCATTTTTAATGACTAATAAACAAAAAAGAATCATAAAAAATGATGACAAAACATTCAAATAAGAACCAAAATTCAAATTTTGTAAATTATTTAAAAAAGTCAATACAGGGACTCACAATTCGAAGTTCAAAACGCTGCTGCACAGATAAGGTTTCTTTTACCCTGATATTCAGGTTAGAATAAAGTGGTTCAGTAAGCTGGCTGAAGGAGAAGAGAAGACAATAAACCCTAGCTCAGTTATTATAGCGTATATGGAAAAGCGCGCGCCGAATATTGCAATTTCTTAAAAACAGGTTCCCTAACCATGGTCTAAGGACACTTTCCGAAAGAATTCAGTATCGCTCTTTCGCACAGAATACTAGTGTATTAAAACTAACCACGTATTGGAGAAATCCATTTTACGTTGTAATTTGCTCTGTCCCTACGAATATGACAATTTTTATGTATAAATAATTTACGTTTTTTTTTATTTTATTGTTAATAACATACTACTTTTTCTATTACATAACTTACTTAATATCACAAATTTCAAAATCAGAATCTATAGTAAAAAGTTATTCCCTTTGTTCCAAGAAATATTATATTTATATTTATATTATTTTTTATACAATTTTTAAATAAAGTTTTAGTTTAAATTGAATTATCTGATTTAATTTAATTTTAAAATTAAGTATATTGACTTTTTGAGAGAACAAATATAAATGAAAACAAAGTACTTATCAATACTATTAAATAGAATTCTTTTAGAAAGAATTACAAGAAAATACACGTGACTTTACACCATAATAAAAAATGGCCCATGTTTTTAAGTTTTACCCGACATAGCCCATATTGTACGTATTTTGAAAACTAGCACATTCAAAATCTGTGTTCTTACAATCATTGTTTCTAAAAGCTATGGAGTTAAATGTGTGTTCTCACAACCATTGCTTTCACTGTCTCTTCTTCTCACATCTTCTACATATGCTTCAAGGGACCGTCTGCCATTACTGCTTCTCCTCCTGTGTCACCTGTTTGCAATATAAGAAAATTGAAGAGTAGAAGTCCACCATTAAAGACCATTCAAAGCTTTGCTTTCGAAAATATGATTTTTTGAGTTTATTAGTTGTTTGAATTAGGTGTTGTTCCAATTGATTAAAAATATCAAAAGGAGTTTAAAATTTAATTTTGAAGTGATTTGGAGTAGATTTGAGTTAAGTTTCAGAAAAGACGCAAGGAAAAAGACGAAGTCAGTTTTTTGTATAATTATGTATAATCTTGTATGATAGTGTATATGAGTGTATAAACACATCTTATACACTTTTATACAAGCGTCTATAGACGAACTTTTTCAACGATTTTCAGTTGCAATTTTTGTTGAAAACTAGTCCAAATCTTCATATTAGGAACCAACGACTCTCTCTTCTTAAAATACCTATATCCTCCACACTTAATCAACATTTAATAGATTATCCAACCCCGAGAAATCTTAATTATCGGTGGGGGTTCGGTTCGTTAGCTGGTATTTGTTTAGTCATTTAGATAGTGACTGGCGATTTTTTAGCTATGCATTAATGATTTCAAATTTTATATACAACCTCCTTATACTATTTGTAACAAGTCTAATAGCCCGTCTGGCCAAGCTGCAAAAATCAGCTTATTTTGAGAAGTGTTTTTTCTCAAAAGTGCTTTTCTCAAAATTACTTTTGGTGAGAAGCAGTTTGTGTTTTGCTAGTTAATTTGAAAAGCACTTCTGATCAACAATTAGTGTTAGGCCAAACTTTAAAAAACTGCACCTAAGTGTATTTTTCTCAAAAGTGCTTTTCAAAAAAGTGCTTTTGGAGAGAAACTACTTTTTTCTGCTTCTCCAAAACTGCATCTGCTTCTACTCAAAAGCACTTTTTTTCTTTTCAAAAGCTTGGCCAAACACCTTAAGATTAAAAAAAAAACACTTTTGACAAAAAAAAAGTGTTTTTGCCTCAAAAGAAGCTTGGCCAAACAGGCTATAAAAAATACCCACTTCAAATTTCTCACAAAATCAAATTCGGAATTTAAATCCACATGTTTAAGCTTGTTAAATATCTAATTTTCACCACCCAAATAAATTTGGTTTGTTGAGCTAATACTTGAGTCACAGTTACTGATTCAAAAATTAACTTTAAGTTTGAACAATCTTTTTTAAAAATTAAATACTCCCCCCGTTTTAAATTAAATGAGGTAGTTTGACTCGACACGGAATTTAACGAAAAAAAGAAAGACTTTTGAAATTTGTGGTCTTAAAAGCTTAATGGGTAAAGCTTTGTGGGGCCATGACTTTGTGTGGTTATAAAAACTTCTCATTCAGGGTAAAATGAGTGAGTTTAAAGTTGAATTATTTCTAAATTTAGAAATGTATCATTTGTTTTGGAACAGACTAAAAAGGAAAGTACCTCATTTAATATGAAACGGAGGTAATAGTAATTTCGAGAACCTATTGGAGTTTGGAGTTAGGATATTGAATCTTAGCTTATTATTTTTGGGCTAGTTGGTTTTAAATTAAAATATGAGCTATAAAATTAGAAAGTAGGGACCGAGTTTTTTAATATAAAATTTTCCCATTCTTTTACAACTTTACATAACCTGAATGTTCTCTGCATCTTTATATAACTTGATTGTCTAAAGACTATCAGTATATAACTTAACTTTTTAGGGAAATACTAGTAAAGTTGATATGGAAGAAGCAAAACACAAAATCCCCCAAAAGAAAAAGCCGGAAGAAAATATAGAGAGACAGAGAGAGAAAGAGATGAGCGACGTAGAAGGACAGGGCTCAAGTGGTTACACTCTACAACCAAGTCGATTAGCAAACGAAGACATACTATTCTGTGTAGATGTAGACAGCGAATCACTCGTAGATATGAAGGTTTCGGTTGCGGGTGGGCGGCCATATAGCAGATTAGACTCCATTAAGCAAGCCATCCTTCTCTTTATCAACGCCAAGCTTACCATTAACCCAGATCACCGTTTCGCTTTTGCCGGTCTTGGCAAATCCGCTTTTTGGGTATGTACTCAAAAATAATACTCCTTTACTTCTTATATTTTAGAATTAATTTAATTTTAAATTTCTCACTTTATCCTTAATAAAATACTCCTTCCCTTTCTATGCCTTAAAGCATTTCTATATTTGAAAATAATTTAACTTTAAATTTTTTTCAATTTATCTTTTTATGCTTAATGAGAAGCATTTATAATTACATAAATGATCTGACAAAGTCTTTGCCTTTTAAGCTTTTTAATCACAAGTTTCAAAACTTTCTTTTTTAATAAAAGTTGTGTGTCCGGTCAAACAACATTTGGATGGAGGGGATGAAAATCATTTGCATCCCCCAAGGTTACTCTAAAAATTAAACTCATCCTCCAACTTTGAACAATTATCATTCACATCCTTTCATCCTAAGCAATGTCTATTTTACCCTTAGACAGTATATGTAATACCTTTTCTATATTATTTAGATATTTTTTAATGCAGGTATTTATTCATAAGTTAAAAATATTATATCTTATTATATAATTTAATCTATGTTCACTAACATTATAAATAAAATAATTATATTAAGAAGTTATTACAAAATGTATTGCTACTTTATTATCGTTATTATTATTATTATTTTAATATTATGTACATTAAAATGCATATAATGTTCGGTATGTGTGTGATTTTAAGTTCCACTATTTTTATTATTCTTTGTGTATATAAATTTTTGATTTTTGATTGTTATTACTAGATTTTTTCTAAATTATTATTAAATTTTATGTAAAGTGTAAATAGATAATTTTTGCAAATTTTGTTATAAATTTACCTCTATTTTACGCCCATTATTTTTTTATTACTTGTATCGTATAATTTATAAAATTTTCACTCTCTTTTATTCTCAATTTTGTAAATAGATTGAATTTTGATTGCTATTAGTAAAATTACTGATACGAGTAAATTATTTATTATAATATTTTATTTTTCTCATTTATTTCACTATTGAACATCATTAACTTATGTTTGACTAAAACTTCTCACTTATTTTGGTTTCAGACTTTTTCTTTTTAATTTGTCTATTGGTAAGTCGATAACATAAATTAAAATAAAATAAAATCATTATATTAAAATAAAATAAAATAAGAGATTAAAATTATAGAGGGTAAAAAAGGAATTTTAAGATTTCACCTTTGATATGAGGAGTAGAATGATAATGTTCAAAGTTGGAGGATGAGTTTGATTTTTAAAACAAACTTGGGGGATGTAAATAATTTTTACCCGATGGAGGGTGTAATAATTTCATGGTGCTAATAGATTGCTGGTTGAACTTTCACTTAGGTAATGCTCATAATAAATTAGAATGCCAGACCCTTGTGGTCCGGCCCTTCCCAGGACCCCGCGCATAGCGGGAGCTTAGTGCACCGGGCTGCCCTTTTTTTATCTTTCCATAGTGATACTTGTTCTTTTTCAAAAAAATAAAAGTAATTGGACATGCCTTTTTCTTTGTTCTGATTTAATATGAGGCAATTATAATATTTCCAATCAAAGAGCAAGGAGAACATTCACAAGCCGAACTAAGTATTTCCTTTGTCTTGTTGTTGTAAAACGCAAAATGTATATGATACAATGATGTTAATACTTGATAGACTTTCTTGGTAGCCTTGCTGACTAGACTTAGAGGCGGAGCCAGAATTTCAACCTTATGGTTCTAAATTTTAGAGCGACGACTTCAAATGTTAGTGAATGGATGCTAAATTTAATATTTGTACATATTTAATGCATTCTAAACACCAAATACACTGTTTGAGCAAAAGTTATTGGGTTCGATCGAACCCGTAGTTTGGCTTGTGTCTCTGCCTCTGACTAGACTACTAGGTTTTTGTAATACTCCTGTTGCAAGACCATCACAATGCTGCTGATTAATAAAATTTTGCTTACCTATCCCGATAAAGAAAAGAGGATAAGAAGGAAAATTAATACATGTTATCATATTAGCTTTTACTCTGGTTCAATTGGTGGACTTTACTAAGCTTGTTTTTTGTATCTTCTGTGTGGCATTTGATGGAAGATTGCCAGTTACAACAACATGATTAAGTAAAACTTTCACTAGTCAGGAGTTGGCATTATTTTTTAATTTCTCATACAAACATATTGAATAAGCATCATGTTGGAGCGGGGTGGATGAAATGGATTCTAGCGTATGGTGTTTTGTGTGATAGGAATGTGCCACCAAGACTTAAGGGCAAGTTCTACAAAGTGATAGTTAGGCCGACTATGTTGTATGGAGCCGAGTGTTGGCCAGTCAAGAAATCTCATGTCCAGAAGATGAAAGTAGCTGAGATGATGTTGAGATGGATGTGTGGGCATACCAGGAAG